ATCTTCGAGACCAATAGGTCTTTCGCAGTGATTCTTGCAGAAATACGATCTAAATATGTCCACAAACATATTCCATCACACATAATTCATTTTACGTCTTTAGTATGCTGGCTTTAGACGTATATATTGGAATTTTGTCAAATTTGTATTGAGGCAAAATACTTATTACACTCACTGTATGTCAAATAAATAATCATTAAATAGGCTAACCCGGTAAAAAGTTCTAATGTATATGTCGTTTTAGATTTGTCATTCCGTTTGCAATACCTCACCGACACAATGGGGGTCTCCAAGGGAGTTTTGAAATTTTAGAATTGAAATATATGATCTACTCTTTGAGCTATTTTGGGGATTTTTTTTTTTTTGTTCATTTTTATCGGTAAAAAGTAATGTGTAATAAACAAAGTAATAAAAAATAGTCACCAAGAATGGGGACTTTAGTCATCTCTGTACTGGTTTGAAATAATTTAAAGCGATGTTTGTACGGTAGTATACTTAGTGGGCCAACAAATTTATATTTTCGTCTAACGTATGCACGTGTTTGTTTATATATACCTTCTCAATATTTTAGGGTGTGCTGAAAGTCCGTATTACACAAATGCGCAAGGCTATTACTACATGTGTGTCAATTGAACATGAATTGATACTCTTTTTTAATTTATCGAAAAATGATTACCAAGATTTTAATAATAAATCAACCTTAAGGCCATGAAGTCTTCATTGAAAGTTTAATTGACTGTCAAAATTTATTGTTTGAAGAATAAATAAACAAACAAAAAATATTTTTATTCGAACCAAAATTGCTCTGTTCCGATATCGAAGGAAATTTACTTGATTAATTTGAATAAAGTAAATATAATATTTAGTATGCAATTAAATTTGACATTTATTTAGAATAACCATTTTGAAGTTTTGATATTTGGGTGTAATCGAGATATAGTTTGTATACATTGTTTCCCAATAACAGGTTTTATTTTGATATTCAATAAAATTTTGGGACTAATGGTCGGATTTATGAAATTTTATTTTTCGAACATTTCCTATATTTTACCACTTACCAATTTTAAAAAATAAAGAAAATCTTGACAGTTTACATTTATACTTGTTCATACGGTAGCTATGTATATACAGAATCAAAAAATTGGAACGGATTGGACTATTAGTTTTTGGGGGATCGTGCCCGCCCTTTTGGGAAGCACTATTGCCGTCACTTAATGCTAACAAGATAAATCGACGATATCTTCAAGAGTTGCTGAGATTTTAACTTAATTCAAATTAAATAAAAACAACAAAATTTGTTTATTTTTTGAACCGAGAAACCGTTTGGTGTTGACCCCTTAAACGTGGCCCCAATGTAAAATGTAACAAGGATTAAGTCACAAAATTCAAGATCCAACCTCATCATCGAAAAAGTCTAACGTACCAGCACCAAACAATCATGCTCTTTTCCGATTTATCAATTTTTGCCACTGAAGACAAGACGTGCGTACATTTCTAAGGAAGATATTTTCATTTTAAAAACTGAATGTTGTCGAAAGCTAATTTATGAAAAAAAAAAAAAATTGGATAGATATGCTTACATGAGACTACGTTGTATAATCATGTCATGGCATACCACTTATATTTTGTAATAAGAAAATGTTATATTCTGTTTCACCAAAACGATCGAAATTCTTTTCGAACGAATGGTAGTCACTCGAATTCGAATCAGATTTGGTTTCTGTAATAAATAACTTATCGTTCGATACGAGTTACGTCTACATTTGAAAAAGTACCAAATTGAATGTATCTTTTTATAACTATATTCTATAAATGAGAATCGATAGAGAAATAAACCAAAAAACAAAAAATTAAATCAAATATTTTAGTATACAAAATTGTAAAATTTGTACGTATTTGTTCAATTTTATTTTGTAAAATCATGAATGAAAAACATGAAAGATATGTGTAAAATATGTATAATTTTTTTTATTTTGTTCAGAGATTGTGCTGTGTGAATTTTTGGGAAAATTTATTTGACATTATCATTCGAATAATGATAGCACATTTTGTTATTGTGAAACCAAAATTGATTTTTTATCGAATGAAAGCAAAAGAAATCTTTCGATCGTCTTGGAGAAACAGGCTATTAATTTCAATTTTATATGGTACATAAATTTCATAAATTTTTCATTGAACATTCACTACTCTGTGAAATGTACCCTTTTACCAGATATATTTACATTTGGTGCAGGGTATACAAATGTTACCACAATTGTACTCCGTTGACACTATATTATGTCATCACCGATGTGCTTCATTTATGTCGTCCTTTCAACGAAATACACATCGTTTCTTTGCAAATGTTTGTTGCATTCAAGAGACTTAGTCCTCATTGAAATTATTTTCAAAGAAATATGCCTTTATCTTTATCTTAAACATACATACACATACATGTATGGATTTTTGAGACGTATATGTGTATGTACTTGTTACACTTCGCTAACAAGTGCAGTCACTCCATCTCCTATCAAATTCATTACGGATGTCAGTTATGCTACATTCGCTGCAAGGCAGCCACAATCTGGGGTTTGCATCTGCAATCAACGCATTTAATGTTAATTTAAAAAAAAAAAAATCGAGATGGCTTGATAAGAGTGCCGCAAGTACCTTGCAAGTTGTTCGTAATGTTTGCTTGGCTGTCTGCTTTATCATCACAAAACAATATCATAATATTAACGCCCTGTTCATGCATGTTTATTTGTTTGCTTTCGATTCCATTTACAGATGCCTCCAATTACTTTGACACCCAGGGACCGAACTTTTCACATGAGCCACCGAGTCGCATTGAATTTACCAACACAGCGGGTAATATTGCAGACTGTATTGCACACGGTAATCCACCACCAAATGTCGAGTGGTTAGACAAGGAAAACAATCCTATCACTTCCATCTCAAAGGTAAGATAACCCTCATTGCCAGCATCATTATCATCATCACAATCATCGTCATCACATCCACTTGAAGCTACGAGCTACGAATACACGTAAACTCTTTGCCACAATTGCAGCCGCATAAACCTCCGCCCACCCAGAAAGCCTATTAACACGAAAGCGATTTTGTAGTTTTAAATTTGCATCGTTACGTTGCACTGTGGGCCAAATCAGCAATCAATCAAGTATAAGCGTACCATTTTATGATGTCAATATCATGCAGTACATCAATATTAACAGATTTCCATCCATTGAACACCAAATTGATGTTTTACAATACATTCCCTTTTTACAATACATTCCAATTTGATCTGTCACAGAAGAAGAAATAACGCCAAGTTCGTCGTCTGTGGAATTAACGCTAAACTTATATTCTGAAAACTTAAACTTATGTTCTGAAATTGTCTGGGCATATCCAATTCCACGCACTAGACTAGATTGAAATTAGAAATATTTCTTAAATGTTTTTGTATCCAAAATATACGAATTCTTTCCAAAAATATTTTTTTTATCCTACAGATCTATAAGATATCTTAACTTTCAAAATTGAAAAGGCTCTTTGCGTTAGGAATTTTCAAAATCTGCATTTGGACATATATGAACAGCTATATTCATCCCAAGGAGAATTTTTGGACCCCATGAAAAACCATTATTTTTCAAAATATTCAAATCTATGTACCAAAAAACGTTGATGTAGCACGAAAACAAAAAACTCGAATTTTTGGATATGAATTGTTAAAATATTGGCCTTATTGTCCATACACATCTTGAAGTGAACTAAAACGAGGCTCATGCAAATATTAGTTTTAGACACCAAGTGCTTTGGACCAAATCCGTTTTTTTTTATCCTTTATATTGGCTATATTTTGTCCACTGTGCGTCGAAATGAGTGTGTCACTATATCAGTGATATTAGATCGAAGTGTTTTGTGTATTATTCTCAACGAGCAGATTCCAACTCAGACGTGCAACTACCCATCCCTAAGAGGTGGTTTAATTAAATGTATGATTCAATATAAAAACCCCTTCTTAAACCATAAATTGATGTTTTGAAAAAAGTTTAATTCGTAATTATCCAGACCAGAAATCGAAGAACATCATCGAAACAAAAGTTACATGGGATTTTAGGGGGAGCGGACTTAGAATATATAAACTCATGCACAAACACACGTGCAACAACTTCATGATACGACATTTGTAATGTTCTACAAGATTTGTGCGAATACTTTACATGCATCTTGACTATTCAAGTGCTTGCATGATCAGGTATTTATGAATTAACTTTTATGTATAACTTTTTATGAGGAAATATATTTACATACATATATTCAAAATAATTGAAGGATAATAAACAAATTCCATTCCTTTATAATTTACAACTAGGCATGAGTGTTGAATAACTGTTTAATACTACAATGCCAATAAAACTTAAAAATTTGCTACACATGTTTGCGTTTAAAATTCCAACTTTTCAGACAATTTTGGTGATGCGGAAAATTCCGTTTTTGGATGAAAGCCCTAGAGGAATATATGAAGAACACATCAGCGCAAATTCAATATAGGTATAATTTTTGAGTTATGACGTGATGATTTTTTTTGCTGATGACCCTAAAATCACTTTATATCCTTGATTGCAGCTATTGCGGGTTGTTTTTGATATGACATGCCTTCAGACACATCGAATGAGAAATAGTTTTGTAAAACATTACGTCCTTTAACATGATTCCTTGTGGGTGATTTTCTACCTTATTGACTCTCTTATGCAATCAGTATCGTACAAATGACTGATAAAGTCATTAACTTTCAAATGATAAGTTTAATCGGGTGAAAAAAGGTACAAAATTCGGATACTTTTTTATAACTCCGGTAATAAAGTGTCCTACAGTTCTTCATAATCTAAACATTTCTGTAGAATATTTTGTCAAAATATTTCGTCTTGTCGTATAAATTATAGAAATAGAAAGATGACATGTTTTTATCCATTCGACTAAATATATGGTATCTCATATCGTTGGTATACGTTATAAAAATGTTCAAAGTCTGCTTCTATAAAATTTTAAATAAACATTTCGATTTTCAATCAAACGAATATATTTTACTACATAAACATACGATTGGTTGTAACTCACTCGAATTCATTCAAATTGCAGTTTGGCAGACGCTGTTAGTTATTTCGAAAATATTTAACTCTTGCACATTTATCCAATTGCAGGTCCGGCATATCCTAGCGAATGGATCTCTATATTTCCCACCCTTCGAAGCCGATGAGTTTCGTCAGGATGTACATTGGTCTGTATATCGATGCGTTGCAACCAACGCTGTTGGGTCAATAGTTTCTCGTGATGTTGTTGTTAAGGCTGGTATGTATTTGAACATTGCACTTTTAATCGTGTGTACGTGTGTGTACAGTGAAAAATTCGGATATCACCTTTTGTAGTTGTAAATCAACGTTATGAACCGGAAGTACAAAATCCTGGTGGCTTCATTGGTAGCAATGTTTTAATCAAATGCAACATTCCTTCGTTCGTGAAGGAGTACGTAACGGTGACCTCATGGCTACAGGAGCCAAACTTTAACATTTATCCATCTTTGGAAGGAGGTAAGTAACACAAATATTCACGTTACTGTGTCGTGGCGCTATCCAGAGACAAACATCACATTTTATGTGTTGCACATGGGTGACCTTAAATTGATAGAACCTTTCATTTTGTTCTTCAACTTTACAATCTACCAAAGATGGCAAAAATCATATGCTTCCGACCGGAGAACTGTTGGTCTATAATATTACACGCACGGATGCTCTCAAAATTTATCGCTGCCGTACACATCACAAATTGACACAAGACTCGGTTGTGAGCAGTAACGTCGGCAAAATTCAATTGACCGGTAAGAATTTGACTTTTCCCAATGGCCTCTTTCCTCCGTAAAGTCGGCTTAAAAAAGTCAGCCAGTATACACTGAAAATTATTTCACATACAAAATCACATTCTAATGACTTTCTTCTGTTTCTGCTTCCCTTTTTTCAATGCAAACAGAAATGAGGGAGCTGGTGCCACCGATAATGAACGAAAAAGTTGTCAGTATTACAGCAAGGATGGGCGATCCGGTGGTAGTACCATGTGTGGCTTATGCAAATCCAAAGCCGGTATATCGGTAAGTAATAAATGTAACATCTTTGCCATGCGACATTTATATAGACCCTAACAGTACGTTCACATTATACTGAACTTCGTTCACCCAGTGGGGTTATGCCATTGCATATATGTCAAAAAATTTCTCAAGTAGTAGATTAACCCGGCAAAAAGTTCTTATCTATATGCCATTTAACCGAAAGTTATCATTGTCAACAAACTGCCATAGTTCCAGTTTTTGAGTTATGGAGGGATTGAAAAATCGAATGGGAAACATATCCTCCTTCTTTCTCAAGATCTTAAGGGCAAGTTACAATTAACCTAAAGTAATTATAAACAAGTGAAAACTACTGAAGACCAGAATTACTAATTTTCAGCCACTATTGATGACAAACATCCTTAAATGGCCACCAGTTTTTGTGATAAAAAAAAAACATTTTCATATGGAAAAATATTAGAAACAAGACATAAGCATTCCAATTATGTGCTGTATTTCACTATAAACATTTTACCTATAGTAGAATTATATCTTTGTTTATAACATAGATATAATTTTAATCGTCCAAATATACCAAAAATTGCTGGAACGACCGAAACTCAATAAATATTTCTTAAAAGAAATGTTTGAAAATAACTAAAAAATAGCGAATGTACCTAAGGGAATAATAAAACGACTTCATGTTCGGCCGAGCAGAACTTCCCCTGCCATTAGGTGTACATTTAAGATACCTATAACCATTCGGGATATTAGAGATAATTTTTAGTATTAAGATTTTCTACTCAATAATTATCCAAAGAGTAATATTACAGACCATTTGGTTAAAATACGTGGCAGAACTTCTAAAAAAACGGATGTTTGGGATGTACCGTTATATGGAGCTACCCTAAAAAGTGGACTAGTATTAAAAATTATTAGTAGGAAGAATTTCCACCTAGTGAGAAACAAAAATATGACGAAAATTATTAAAATATATAGCGGTACCTCAAAATTTTCAGTATTTTTTGGGGGTTTTGATAGTATTTTTCCACCGAATTTAGTATTTTGAGTTCATAATAGGTACCAAATCTCTCTACAAAAAATTATAAATATAGGTCCATTTTTTCGGATAGTCCCAATATAAGGGTACCCCCAATATTCGGTATTTTGGGATTTTTGAGTGCGTTTTTCAACCGAATTCGCTGCAATGTGGTATTTTGTAGTCGTATATGGTAACAAATATCCCTACCAAAACTTTTTAATATTCGCCCACATGTTGGCGTAGTCTCCATATAACATCCTTTTTTATATTAAAATAGTTATATGATTTGTTCCGTGTTTGGGTTTGGTTCTAAGACTCTGTTGTAATCATTTCATCTGTGGAAGATACGAAAAAAAACTAGTACATAAGGTTTGATAATTATACTCCCCTGTGTGGGAGGTACCAGACGGAGTGGACCGATATTCCCCGTGTTCGAACTTGAACTAATTTTGGAAGAAATAATAAGATGGGTAAAGTTTAGATGAAATCAAAATCTTTTGAAACAAATTTGGTTCAAAGAAACATGGGGTCTAGGACCAATATTTAGAACCATACTCGGTTTGTAGAAATGTCGGTATAGGTACACTTGTGGTATGTTCCCTATATTTTTATTTCAAGTACCTATCAGTATACCTATGTGGAGGGTATCCAAAGTTCGGCCCGGCCGAACTTAACGCATTTTAACTTGTTTTTTAAAAGATTCGGTATGCATTCTCCAAAATAAGTAGCAGTCATTTCAAATTAAAATATATGAAAACTGAAAGTTCGTCGTAAAAATTCACTATATGCGTAGTTCGCTATAAGAGTACAAATTTGTGTGAAAAATATGTCTTAAAATTTCAGACCAGGAAATGTGTTCGCTATAATAAAAGTTCGTTACAACCAATGTTCGTTATAAGCGTAGTCGACAGTATAATAATAATAATTTTGTATGGCCGCCCTTTGCATCTACCATACATTGTAAACGTTTTTTCATGGAGTGAACTAACTTTTGCTGGGCATAATTGTTTGGAATATTGTGTCACTCTTCCAATATGGTAGTTTTTAATACATATGTATATAATTTTTGTTGCCTTTTAGCTTTTTTTTAAATATACCGACAAATTTTTTATTGGGTCGGGACTTTGGGCTTGAGTATCCAAAACACTTCCACTGTTATAAAAACGCCACATACACATATATGTGATCTGTGCTTACGATCATTATCCTGATAATATTTAAAATGTTGTCAAATAATTGGTTAATTTTTGATGACCTTTTGAGACTATAGTCATGTGAAAAAGTTATTCAATCTAGACGGCGTTTTAAGAAGAGTTGTTTGTTTTTGTTTTGACCATTTTCCTATCATATATTGTAAGCCTAGTGCGAAAAGTCATAAAAAAGCTTCGAAACTGTAGGTTTTTTATTGCTCAGTATTTTCGAGCTTCTAAATTTGCAAAAGCAAATCATGCTATCAAAAAATCTACATTGACTTAAATTTCGGGGTAAGCCCAATAGCTTGAGAAAGTTTTTGAGCCGAATTGGGCATATTCGATATTTTATTTTTTTGTGTCAAATAAGTGTTTCAATGGAGGAGGGTATTTTTTATAACGCTAAGACAAACTCCAAAATACTTAAAATAGAGGGGTGTCTTTATATAGGGGCTACCCAGAATTTTAAGACAATAATAATAATTTTTGGTACGGAGATGTGTTATACAATGAGAACCCAAAATACCAAACTACAGCCAATTCGGCTAAAAACGTGTACAGTATCCACAAAATGCCGCATATGGGGGAGAACCGTTATATGGGGGGTTACCAATATACCCCCGATACGGATACATCCCATTTGCAATACCAAACATCCTAGGAGTACGAGCAATGTCTGTGCAAAATTGCATGTCGATTTAGCCGTGTGTTAAAATCACGATAGAGATAGCAATATCTAATACTTTCCTAGTACTTGTAGGATGTTTTGTATTGCAAATGGGATAACGCAATATATAACGCTACCCCACAATATTCGGTATTTTGGGGGTGTTGGACACGACTTTCTATCAAATTGACTGGAGTTTAGACACGACTTTCTATCAAATTGACTGTTTTTTCTATTATGAATTGTCATTGGCTATCAAATCATCAAAAAACAAAAAAAATCCAATATTGATCCCCGTTTTGGTACAGTCCCCACTGTATTTAAGGATTTCTCGATTTATTTTACAGACGCATCGAGTCTTTTTCGGTGTCGTAGTTTCATATTTATTTTTCTCTTGGAAGCCCTGATCGATTTTACAAATTTGAATTGTTTATCTCCAGGTGAAGGGTATATAAAGTTCGGCCCAGTTGAACATAATCTCGTTTTTACTTGTTGCTCGCGGCAATCGCGTTTTCGATATGAAGCTCTCACCGTACATCACTAGTTTCGATACATAGGTATCGAATATCGAAATAAATAACTGTCACAAAGTTCGAAATTTCTAGCTAATAAACTTATTTAGATGCACGGTTTTTGGTATTTTTAAAGATGTTTTTTGTAATATTTCCATTCCATTTCGTAAGTATTTCGTGTATAAAATTTTAAGACAATATTATTAAAAAGTGGTAATTACGATGTGTATTATTTTTATTAAAAATAGAATGTTTTTACAAGACTGATAGAAAAAATGAAAAAAAAAACTATAAAATGTATATTCGGGGTAGATTCGGCATTTTAACGAGGGGCACATTCGGCCATATACAGATAGTACAATGTTATTTCCTTAAAATGTTGTTGACTTTGCCTTTAAAAATATTCTTTAATATGGTTCGAAATTACATATATAAGCCCAAACGTGTTTATATTGACGAAAATGCGATAGAAAAAATTTATTTCTGATGGTATGTGCTACCTTGAGATTTCAACGTCCGCCACTAGAATATATAGCTCTAAAATTCAAACATTGTGTCGGGTATTAAAACCAAATAGAGCCTTTAGGGGATCTGAATTTCTACCAGATTGATACCGATGATAATTACCAGGCTATGACTATGGTGCCGAATGTGCCCCATCAAATGCCGAAGCTACCCCGGGTTGGGACACATTCAGCGAATTTGACTTTTTTACAAAACTGTAAAAACAGTAAAAATCCTTTTGGTACTAGTTTTTATTTATTTTTATTTTTTTAACTAGCAGACTCGGCAAACGTTGTTTTGCCTTATCAGAATTGCATCAATATTGGGTTGGTAAAAATTAACGAATTAATGGAAAACATATTTCAGAAACTATTTACAGTCGACTCCGCTTTTCTTAAATTATTGAAATGTGGAACGGTGTTTTTGAGTTCCTTTCGAAGTTTGGACGGGCAAACTTAACGTTCTTCGACGTCAAATTTATATGTCGGTAATAATCAATAATTGCCGAAAAATATCTGTTATGGTGGGCTTTGCAAACTACTCTGTAATTATATTTCATATTCATGACTATCAGTAATGCGGAGTGATTTCAAAGGAAATTGCAATGTTTGACTCCAAAAGTTATTTTAGTGGGTGATTAACCTAAAATGAAATGGTGCAGGAAATCTATTTCACTTATCCGATATTTTTTAGTTAAGCGACTTACAGTAAAGCGGAGTCGACTGTACCGAATAATGTACGTCAAATTTCCACAGTTAAAAAAATGCATAATATTTTCCTCACAACGGTAAACCTTTATTTACTGATACTCCAGTATATTAAGTAATATTGTTAAATATTAAATTATGTCAGTATGTGTGGTATATCAGTTTACTTATTCCACCAAACATTTTTCAGGAGAAGGTCAAGTTTTGATCTAACTACTTTTATCTTAAAATTTTATTGAAGACGTAATTACTTTTCCTATTTTTATCACATACGATTAATAAGTCCTTTGAATCATAAAAATTGGTGCAGACGTTCTTGAGTTATAAAAGGTGTATGTAAAACAACACTTGATACTCCAATCTCCGACTTTTTATGTTTTTCTCATCTCTTCCCACTGCAATTAAAAACAACCGTACGAAAAT